CCACCCCCGATGCTCCTCTAATATACCTCCAAGTTATGTGCAGATTGGACTTCAGGGATCTGAGTTATGTTCCCCCAAAGAAGATGCCCCCAGGAAAGTACTTTTGGGGAAAATGTCAGGTGCAGATTCAAAAGTGCAAGCTACACATATCAAACACACAGGAAACTGACTGGTGTTTCCAAGGCTGGAGAATTTCGCCCCTCCCCCATTGCTTTGAAGTTGCTTTGAAGTTTGGTAAGCCTTTTGACTGAGCGGAGACTGTCTGGAAATATATCCATTTACAGACCGGCACAAGCTGCCTAGAACAGCTTGAAAGTTCATGGAAAGTTCGTGCTGGTTGACCTGCCATGAACTTCAGTTTGCAAACCACGAACTGGCCAAAATTCATCACAAACTTTAGTTTCATGAGCTGGCTCATGCCCATTCCTAACGTAGACTAACAAGACAATTTGGCCACATTTTTGTTGAGTTAAAATACTTATGTCTTGTCGTTTTTCTCCATTCATGGAGGCTCCAGACAACTTACCTAAACAACATGACAAAAAGGGCCAACTGTAAAACAATGAAAACCAATGGAACATTTAAAGACACAGACCAAGCTAGGCATACGGAGAACTTCACGGCAAACATGACTGCCAGACAAACACACCATGTTCAGACTCCCTCTCAATTACATGAGATGTTAGCTCCTGATTGGTTCACCTCAATGCTCTCTGGTGAAATTCAGTTCAAGCAGAGGACTATGACAAGGAAAGCTGCTTGATCATGGAAGCTTACACTTGTTTTTGCTCAGTTCAGCAACATCTCATTTACCAGAGAAGAGACAGTATCCCCTGGGTCATATTTGTTCAAGTGAGAGAGGTATAAAGCACAGAATCATCGTTTGTCTTATTTTTGTGCCTGTCAGGTCAAGTGACTCCTTCTCATGGCCAACATTAGATAGAAGGTTCTTGTGCCTTTGCAGTCAGCGAAAACTATTTGAGAAGTAATTGCAAGAACAGATCACAAGCCAGTTTCTTGAGCAACAAAATAATTAGTCTCGACCTTCAAAAGAATTACTGTCAGATCGTTGTTTCCCCCACACCCCCCCATTTTACTACAGGGTCTTTCAAAGTTCTAATTACGTGGGCAAGCAATGATGTGAAAAAACCACATCTGAATGTATTTGGATACATAAAAATGGCTCACCAAATAATCAGCTCCCTGGTGGTGACTTGAGAGCAGTATGTGAGTCAACTGGTGGGTGTTTGGAGCATGCCTAGACCAAATGGCCTCAAAATTCTCAGCTTCGAAACAGCCTTCAAGCAAATCATCAGCCTCTGAAGAAGGCCCTCTAAACAGTACTGTTTTTAAGTGCCCTCCTCACTTCCTCTGGAAACCATTCCAGAAGATGAAGCCACAGCTGGAAAAGGCTTGTGGTTGAACTGTGATTGATGTCATGAACTTCAGGGTGGGAACAGCCAGGAGACCTTGCTGGAAGGATCTGGTTTGGCACACACATTTATATCAGGAGAGACAGGGCTTTACGCATGTGGGTCCCTGACTTTGAAAGGTTTTCAAGGTAAGATTGGCATCGATCAGTGTGCTTGATCTGTTGCAATGCTTCTGGAAGTCAGCTATCTTTCTGCGTGTGTATGTCATTCTGGTTATGGAGACATAGCTGTTCTCTAAGTAAAATAGAGAAGGGTTTGTTATCGATGTATGATCACTAGGGTCCCAGGTCCCTAAGACTCATGGGCAGGGGATGGGGCAAACTTACCTGGGGCCGGAACAACATAATGGGCCTATGTCACTCAGGAACCAGAAATAAATGTGATGTGCCTACATCACCCGGAAGTGACATAGTCACATTGATGACGCGGGGGGGGGGGGGCGCTCTGGTTTTTGAACAAAACTCTATGGTTTGAAACTAATTCTACAATAGAGTTATGCCCCAAAACAAGAGCATCGCCCTCTCCCCTGACATCATCGACATGCCTTCGTCACTTATAGGTGACGTAGGCATCTTGCATTTATTGACATGCCTTTGTCACTTATAAGGAGCTGCGGTGGCTCAAGTGGTTAAGACACTGAACTGCAGGCTGTGGAAGGTCAGTAGTTCAGCAGTTCAAGACCCAGGTGCCGTATGACGGAGTGAGCTCCTGTCTCTAGTTCCAGCTCCTGCCAACCTAGCAGTTCGAAAGCAAGAAATTGCAAGTAGATATATAGGTACCACTTCGGTGGGAAGGTAACAGCGTTCCGTGCGCCTTGGTGTTTAGTCATGCCGGCCACATGACCACAGAAACGTCTTCGGACAGCGCTGGCTCTTCGGCTTTGAAACGGAGATGAGCACCGCAACCCTAGAGTCGGATTCGACTGGCTTTCGAGCAAGGGAACCTTTACCTTATACCTTGTCACTTATAGGTGACGTAGGCATGTTGCTTTTATTATTTCTAGCTTCTTGCCTGTTTGGGCGGAGTGATTCTCCCCTTCTGGCCAGCTAGCCAGTGCTGGGGGGGGGGAGCGCTGGGAACTGGAGGATCCCCCATGTACCAGCGGGACATGGAAACCCTAACGAACAGGAAAGAACATACATAATTCATGGAAACAAACTTAATGTTTCAAGATTCCCTCCCTGCTCAGGTTTCATTTCACTAATCTTGTAGGCTCTCACTGTCTTTCCAGGATTACTACAGACATACCAAAGCACTTGGATATTTTGTCTCAAGGGTCGTAAATAGTATTACACAAGTGCTGCAGTGCTTTGAACACACCGATCAATATCAGTCACGGAGACCTGATGTAGTTTGCCTGCTCCAGTATCTTCCCCGTAAACAACATTTTAAAAACTCATAAATTTGAATGAGATCATCATATAGATATGGACGTCCCAAGGCTCTCTGTGTTTTCTTTCACATAGGTTTCTCACACTATTTCCTGTGATTGTTGAAGCAGCTTGTTAGGCTGGAATTGACCCATTTTAGGCCAATCAGCATTGTGTAGAATCATTTCCAGTTCCTACCAGTGTTCCCTCTAAACTGAGTTAGCGTGAGCTAGCTCGCAGTTTTTTAGCTTCTGGTGCAGTGTATCAAGTCCTGACAAGTCCGGACATGTCCAGACTTGTCCAGAGACAAACCTCAAGCTTCGCTCCTAGAGACAATGGACCAGGTGGATCCTAGCCCGCCCCAATCATTGTTCCTGGCCGAGAAGCCAATGGGACTCTCGGCCACTGTAAATAACCTATTGGAAAGTGGGGGGGTGTTTTGGGTGGTGGGTTCTGAGGGAACATAAGCCGGCCTGCGAGCCGGCCAAAGGCATCTTGTTCCTGATTGAATAAAGTACGCTTTGCTGAAATCACTCTGCGTACTTTTCAGGCTCACACATTTTTGTCTTCACTCAGGAAGGACGGCTCCAGAGCAAACTGGTTTGTGCAGTAGCTAAACCACTCGCTCACAACTTTAACGCCAGTAGCTCACAAAGTAGAATTTTTGCTCACAGCTTAGAGGGAGCATTCAATGTTGTTGGCAGCTCATAGGTGGCAGCAAATTCTAGTAAGTTCTCCATAAAAATACTTGTAACGGCTGCTCCTTCTTGCCTGTTGCTGGGCACTGGACATGTTCAGCTGTCAATTCTTGACAAAACCACGCATAGGTCCCACTCAGCTTTAATAGGATCTTGACTTCCAGGATCTTTGGGTGTATCTGTCAATCTCAACCACTTAGCTATGGTGAGATTGAACAAATGGGAAGAGCTAATGAGCATAATCGAGGGAAGGCTGTGCCACAGGAAGTGTGGCTGCTGACGGGGAGGAAGGGATTAAAGGGATTTGCGAGAACCTCAGAGTCAACGAACCTAGTATTTCCGTGCTGTCTAATCAAACTACAGTTCTGCCTTTAAAAATGGCTGAAGGTCATGACAGGAGTGATCTTGCTGGAGACCTTGAGTGGTGTAGTAATTAACATATTGGGTTAGGACTGGAGAGACTCAGTTTCCAATCCCCACTTGGCCAATGGCATACCTCCAGGACTACCTTTCCTTGTATGTCCCCCAAACAGCATTACGCTCTAGTGACCAAAATCTGCTGGTGGTTCCTGGCCCAAAGAACCTCTGGATCTCCTCTGGGTCTCCTCAACCAGAGCCAGGGCCTTTTCACCCTTAGTTCCAGCCTGGTGAAACACTCTTCCGAGAAAGATCAGGGCCCTGTAGGACTTGTTACCATTCCACCGAGCCTGTAAAACAGAGTTGTTCTGCTGAGCCTATGGTTGAGGGCAGCGACGGGCACCTTTCTGACAGATTCCATCTACAATTGGCCTCCCCCCTCCTTCTCCTACCTCCCCTCTTTCTCCTACCTCCCCTCCCCTTCCCCTTTCCTTCTCATCAGATGGTTATATCGCCCTCTATAGGAACGCCATCTTTTAGCTGTATGCATTTTATGGACATTATGATATTATATTTATTGTAATCACCATCATTTCTAGTGTATTTATTGTATTTTTAATTTTTTAAGAATCTTGTATGCTTATCAAATTGATGTTACCCACTTTGAGCTGGTTCTGTGAGAGCAGGTCGTCGTCGTCATCATCATCATCATCATCATCATCATCATCATCATCATCATCGGGTGACTTTGGGCCAGTCATCCTCTCTCAGCCTAACCTACCTCACAGAAACTTGGCCTGTCATTGCTTTCCAGGGCATGAACAAGTCCCAATCCAGATGCTGTACTCTGGATCCTTGCCACTCCGCTATGTTTGTGGAAAGGTCGTGGATTTCCTAACTGGCCCAATAAAGGGGGATGGTTCCTGGTGTAGCCGTGTGGTTTAACGAGATTCTTTTGTCATGGGATTTTTGCTGCCAGTTGCATTGCAACTTAATTCTCATGCCATCATCTACATGCCTCTTCCAAAGGTTAGGTGTGTCTGCCCTCCTTATCCCTTCATCCCATTGGCTGTTCCCAATGGCTTGATGGGAATAAGTTCTTCAGTCTAACAGCTCCCATCACAAGACTGGCTTGGAAGAGTCCTTGTTGTAGAACAAAGCTACTTTTGCCTTCTTGGGCCCCTTTTACCTTCCATAAACAAATTCCTCTCTCTCTCTTTCTGTCTTTCATACTCTCTCTCAATTGACCAAGATGAACAAGATTCTTCTCCTGGGCTTTTCTGCTCTACTCTTCTATGCAGTTGGTAAGTACCAGATTTTAAAAGAAGAGAACAGTGTGGGGATTTTTTCCCCCCTGGATAAGTTTATATGAATATTCAGCAGGAGTGTTTAGATGTAGATGTTGGACAGGATACTTTTTTCCTGATTATGCCATACAAGGTATTCGAGTGTCAGGGAGGGTGGATTCTGATGTTTAGTCTCTCCTCATCTGACCTTTGCCCTTAATTTGGAGGTACTCCTCTATCCATAGCTTGTTCAGGTTTCCCATTGTGACTTGCACCACAGTGGTTCATCAGTGTCGTAGGGATACCAGCCTCCAGTTGGAATCTGGGGATCCTCTGGAATTACAGCTCATCTCCAGACTACAGAGTTCCCCTGGAGAAAATGGCTGCTTTGGAGGGTGGACTCTATAGCATTGTACCTCACTGAGGTCCCTGTCCTCCCCAGGCTCCATCCCCAAATCTCCAGAAGTTTCCCAACCTGAATATGGCAACCCTAACCCACCCATCCCCCACCGGTGGCCATGGGGGACTTGGTGACCTTAGCCATCATTGAAACATGTCCTTGGCACAATGTCTGTCTGTAAGCATGGTTTTGGGAGATTGAATCTAAAAGATTGCAGACAGAACAGAAGAGCAAAGTTAAGACTTTGTATGTATGAAATGCCATCAAGCCGCTGCCAATTTATGAGGACCCCAGAAGGTTTTCAAAGCAAGAGACATTCAGAGGTGTTTTGCCATTGCCTGCCTCTGTGTAGCGACCCGGGATTTCCTTGGTGGTCTCCCATCCAAGTACTGAATAGGGCCGACCCTGCTTAGCTTCTGAGATCTGATGAGAGTGGGCTAACCTGGGCTATTCAGGTCAAGGTAAGTTTGATCTAAGGCAGAGCAAATAGATTCAAGATGTCACATTACAAGAGGATTTTCTTTTTCTTTTTTTTAACAAAATTTTTATTCAGGATATAATCAATCACATCCAACATTGATTTTACATTTATACCCATTACATCCTACCCACCTCCCTTTCCCCCCCCCCTTACATGGCTTCCCACAGTGCTACAACCTCCTGTATATTTCTTAACTTTCTCTCCTCCAACCACTTCTTGATTGCAAGTTCACTAGGTAACTGTTATCTAACTATTACAATTGTATCTCAATCCTTTCATATTACTAAAAATCAATACTCAATAGTTATTAAAGCAAAATAAGTTGTCTCTTTACATCCCAATATTTTTCCAAATAGTATTTTAAGTCTTTCCAATCTTTATAGAAATCTTCTGCTTCCATATTATTAAGTTTCCGTGTCATCTTGTCCATTTCAACCGAAAACAATAACTTTTTAATCCAATCCTTGACTCTCGGGACTTCATTTTGCTTCCAGTATTGAGCATAGGTCATTCTGGCTGTTATCATATACCACATCAATGTCCTTTTCGCCACATTGACCTCTTCCATTTTTAGTCCCAAAAGTAATATTTCTGGTTCTTTCTTAAATTTACATTTCACAATTTTTTCCATCTCTACATGAATCTCACTCCAAATATTTTTTGCCTTTTCACAAGTCCACTACAGAATTACAGGAGGATTTTCTGATCAGTTTACCTGATGCTTTCACTTTCCCTGCAGGTCTGCTGGAGACTCACTTAAATAATTCCAGATGTCTAGTCCTATTAGCCTGCTGCAGCAAGAGTCCAGTGGTCCTTAAAGACTAACACAATTTATTCCAGGAGGGGTAGCCGTGTCGGTCTGAAGCAGTAGAACAAATTTAGTGTCCAGTGGCACCTTTAAGATCAACAAAGGTTTATTCAAGGTATGAGCTTTTGTGTGCAAGGCACACTTTTCTCAATACAGTGGAATGGGAGGTACGATTCAAACTTACAGACAGGGCGAACAGCTTGTTATTTAGCTTGCTATTTAGTTTTGGTTTTGCATAATTTAAAACATCTTCATCATGTTACATGTACATTTGCTGTTCAGCCTGTCTGTGGGTGCGTTCAGATGCGCAGTTTGAACCGCTTTCGGCACACTTCAGTAACTGATTTTATCTGCACAATTACACAGTCAACATCTGCCTCCCATCCCCAGCCATTGGTTTCCGGCGCAAAACTGCTTTAACCCGGAGTATTTTGTTACCAGGTCCAAAGTGGTGTTTTCTCAGCTCTCCCGTTTAAAGCCGCATTTTCCCCCTGTGTGATCGCTCCTTCAGTGTCGAGCCACTTCCGGTTTAAACCCCCTCCCCGCTTGAAAGCTGCCTGAGGCTTCTGCTTTTGGCCTGCCATTTTTTTTAATGCGTTGGCGGTGTGCGCATAGGCGGAACTCCGCCACTATGTTTAGAAAACCAACATTTAAACGGTCACTTGTTTTAGCATTTAGGTGAGTTTGGGATCTCACGGAAGCCATTTTCGGGTCAAACATTTAAAGCGAAGTCTTTTGTTGGAGGGGTTGGATTGATTCGCCCGGGTGGTTCTGTGCATACGCCATGATAGTTCCCCCCTTCTACAGAGGGGCACCTATGTGCATGTGCAAACTGAGAAAAAAGAAAAAACCCACTGACACATGGTCCTGCGCGTTGGTAGTGTAGACGCTGGGGAGCGACATGACTGCGCGGTGAGGCAGGATAAGGCGCAGGGCTCTTTTTGTAGCAGGAACTTATTTGCATATTAGGTGACACACCCCTAATGTAGCCAATCCTCCAAGAGCTTACAGTAGCCCTTGTGAGAAGAGCTCTGTAAGCTCTTGGAGGATTGGCTACATTAGGGGTGTGTCGCCTAGTATGCAAAGGAGTTCCTGCTACAAAAAGAGCCCTGAAACTTAAGCGTGATCACAATTATCCAAATTAAATATAATCCGGTTAGAACCAGAGCAGTTTGACCTGCTCTCAGCACACCGTCTGACCACACCCTGTAAGATTGAACTCTACCTTCCATTCCAGTGTATCTGAGGAAGTGTGCATGCACACAAAAGCTCATACCTTGAATAAACCTCTGTTGGTCTTAAAGGTGCCACCGGACACTAAATTTGTTCTACAGTTTATTCCAGCCTAAGCTTCTGTGAGTCAGAGCTCACATCATTAGATGCAATGAAGAATGCATCCCTTAAGCAGATACATCTCAGGCATCTGAGGAAGTGTGTTCTGACTCACAAAAGCTTACGTTGGAATAAATTGTGTTAGTCTTTAAGGCAGCACTGAACATCTATTCGATTTCCCTTGAGCAAAACACTCTGTTTTTTGCTTGGAGCAGATGTCACTATGTCAACAGGTGAAAGTTCCGTGAAAATTAACTCAAAAAATATATTTTTTAAAAAATAGTGGTGACTGTTTTGTTTTCCTGCCAACTGGGACAACATGTTTCACGACTGTATTCCTTATTTGTAGGATCCTCTTTGCCAGATTTTAAGCAGAAAGGTGAATCCATCCAATTTCTGTGGGCACTTAAAAGCATTTCTGATTAACTATCCAGGGACAGTGTCCCCAGTGAAATTACTCTACCTGCCCATTTTCAGAATGAAAGGAGAAAGTGCTCGTGTTTCATTAGGCAATTCAATAAAACAGAAGCCGGGATGGCCAAACTTGCTTAACGTAACAGCCACACAGAATAAACGTCGGATGTTTGAGAGCCACAAGACACGAACAAATCACATACACTTTTTAAATTGAAAAATGTGCAAATCTGCTTTTCATTAACATTAAATTGTGCTGTGTGAAACAGCTGCAGTTTGGCCACCCCAGATAGTGTGGTGTGGGAGGCACAGAGCCAAAAACCTGACCTCCCAAGAAGGCAGGCAACTTGGCAGAAAGGTCACAAAATAATATATATTTTTTAATCCTCCATTTTCTCCTCAAAACAACCCTGTAAGGTAGGTTCAGTTGAGAGTGTATGGCCCAATCTGCATCTAGCATTTGATTCGTTGTATTACTAAACCCACACTGGAACAGAAAAAGATGCGGCTCAAAACCACATTCAAATACCCCGAGCCAATGCCAGGCTGACTGCAGTGTCACCCCTGAATGGCAATAAAACGGCCATAAAACCTATGCAGACAGTTTCGTAAAACTGAGAGATCAAACGAAGTGAAAGCGGCATGCAGCCTGGACACTGCCACAAAATCCAACAGTCAAAGTGAAAATATCATGCAAGGCCGAGGGGAATTTCTATTCCAACGTGGGTTTGGTAAAACAGCGAAGCAAATGCTAGATGCAGATTGGGCCTATGACTGGTCCAAGGTTATCCAGCAAAGGGGATGTGAACCTAGTCTCCTAGATCCTTATCCAACACAGTAACAACTACACCACAAATAACACATACTTACATGCATACACAAACCTTAGCTTGTGCACATACAAACTTATGTACATACGTACGTACATTTTGGCGTTGTTTGGTGTAGTGGTTAGGAGCACGGACTGTAATCTGGGAGAACCGGGTTTGATTCCCCAGTCCCCCACATGCAGCTTCTGGTGTGACCTTGGGTCAGTCACAAGCTCTTTCAGAGCTGTTCTCTCACAAGAAGTTCTCAAAAGAGCTCTCTTAGCCCCACCCACCTCACAGGGTGTCTGTTGTGGGGAGGGGAAGGGAAAGGGATTGTAAGCCACTCTAAGACTCCTTTGGGTAGTGAAGGGCAGGATATAAATCCAATCTCCTCCTTCTCCTCCTCCATATATATGTACATATACACACCTAAACAGTCATACACATAAATAACAAATGCCATTTGGCACCATTTTTATCAGGGCTGTTTATTTCTCTGTATCTGTTACCGGTCATAGTGCCTCCAAACTTACCAAGAAGAGACTGCTTACCTGGATGTGGCCTCATGTGGAATACTGGGTCCTGTTTGGATTGCTGCAGCTCAAAAAAGGATATTGCAGGAAGAAGGGCAGCCAAGATGATTAGGGGGTTCCCCCCATTAAGAAAGCCCTGAGATTCTGTGACTTTTTAGCACAGAAGAAATATGGAAAGAGGGAGGCATGATAGAGATTTGCACAATGATGCACGAGGTGGAAAAAGTGGATAGAGGGATCT